AGGTTCCTCGGAAAAACTAGCATTTCCCCAGCCCACCATGGCCGACGAAATTGATTTCACTACCGGAGATGCTGGGGCTTCCAGCACTTATCCTATGCAGTGCTCGGCCCTGCGCAAAAACGGCTTTGTGGTGCTCAAAGGACGACCATGCAAAATAGTGGAGATGTCAACTTCCAAAACTGGAAAGCACGGTCATGCCAAGGTAAGTGCCCTTCCAAGTCATTCTTTGGCTTCTGCATTGAGATTTTGATCATTTRTATTCCATTACAGATAATGAGTATCTATACTTAAAATTTTGTAGTAAAGACAKTTTTTTCCTTTCCTCAGTTATTGAGTGATCAGCTATTGCTTTGAATGCTTAAAGATAGTATTCCCTTCCTGGGCCCTTATAATGTTTCATTAACTGGGAACTGAAACTTTCCTTAATCCTGGTGACCTCGAAGATCTATTCACTTTACAGTTGAGAAAACCTTTACTAACAGTTCTAAGAAACCTATTTTCAGTCTTATATATTCTTATAATTGAACTACTGGGATTATAAATTATATTGAGTCTTGACATTTTATGATTCCGTTTGACTGTTCACTGYATTTCAATTCTATGGCCACTACATTTTTTTAAGAAAGTAAAATTAGATGACCTTGGAAGGAGGAGAAAGAATCTGTCATAATCAGCATTGGTATTGTGTGCTCTTGGGTATGTACTGAGTGATATACTTGGCAGAGATTAAGCAGGTTTCCTGTTCTCCTCTATTAGGTACACCTTGTTGGAATTGATATTTTCACAGGCAAAAAATATGAAGATATTTGCCCTTCTACTCATAACATGGATGTTCCAAATATTAAGAGAAATGATTATCAAGTAAGTACTAATTTCCTTTAGAATGTTGATTTTTAAAAGTACAAATATTTTCTTCTAGCAGTAGTAATCTGACAAAACCCAACAGTAATTTTGAAGGTTTTCTTAATCAATTTTTAGGCACCACCTGTCTTATGAATTGGAGAAACAGATAGTGAGGTTTTTTTGTTTTGTTTTTTTCCTAGCATTCCTGTATTTTTAAAAAGTTGAGCACATCTCAGACCAAGTGACTCCATATTTTGACTAAGTCCAGTATTTGGTAAAATTACTGTGTTCTCTATTGTAAAATATATCAAATTTAGATAACTCCCTCCTGAGTGTTTTTTTTTTTCCCCCTAATCAGAGCTAAGACTTCCAAAAAACTATTGGATTTCATGTTCCTACCAACCAAGTTTTTTAATTAATGTTAGTAAATCAGAGTTTGGTATTCTTAAGTAAGGAAATAAGTTGAAAAGTATAAATATAAAAAGTACATGCTYACTGAATATGGTAAAGAAAATATAAAAGCTGTGTAATTGGTTTATTTATATACATTGATGATGCTATGACCTTTTCTTAAATTAATAGATTTTAATTCCAATTATACTTTTAGATAGGTTGTGTTTAATAATAACATTTTGTTGTTCAACATATTGATGGTAACCAAATAATATCATAGAATGTGGAAGCTCGGATTAATCATAAATAATGCTATACTTGGAAGTATTCAATTTCTATATCAAGCATATCATATCAGAACTTCACCATATCAAACTTTTTTCTGTTAATTTTATATAGTGAGAAATACAAGAGTGGCATTTGTATTATTCAACTTAGACTGAATCCTTTCCTTTTTTTATAGTTATTTTTTTTCTTTTTTTCTTTTTTTGTTATTGTTCAAAACATTACAAAGCTCTTGACATATCATATTTCATACATTTGATTCAAGCAGATTATGAACTCCCATAGACTGAATCCTTTCTATACCTTTCATTGTATTATATAAATTTTAAAAGAATATTGCTATCATCTGTATTTACCYAATGATTTTCTTTTATTCCATCAATATGCAAACATAGTTTTATGTAGTTTTAGTGTAATAACAGTTAAATATTTTTACTTTCTAGGTTGCTTTGGAGTCATTGTAAAAACTTGAATTGTCAATGTTAACAGAAAGTTAGGCTTGTTTTTTTGTTTTGTTTTGCGGGGGGTGGATTTTGAGTCAAATAGATCTGGGTTCTAGTTTGGCCTCTTTCTAATTATATGGATTTTGGACAAGTTATGCAACCCCTCTGAACATTAGTTTCCCAATCTACAAAACAAGAATGATGTGAGGATTAAATGATTAAACGTACCCCATGAGTAGATGAGTACAGAGAAGCAGTTCTGTTTGGCTCCCCTTTCCTATTTAAAAACTCTACTTAATAATGTCATTACTGTTGGAACACTGAATTTAAATGTGGTACATAATTGCTCAATAAAAAATCATCAAGTGTGTGTATTTATTGWGTCAGTGGAGAGAGGGTAACAGAAGAATAAGGCTTATCATATAATTTTCTTTTGCCCCAAGTGTGAATACTTTGAATATTCAGTATGCATTATATTCAATAATATTCATTCAGCATCAAATCCTCATACCTGTTGCATRTGTCAGAAAGATAGTATCAGTAGTTCACATAATTACTACTTTGATCAAGTTAGCCAGTCATTGATTGGAGTTCACAGTTTAACATAGAGGAAAATTTTAATCTGGATTTTATTTTGATGTATAATGAGGCCCAGACTGGGGTTCAGCAGATGAACTGAAGTGAGGCCTTGGGTGTAAAAGTTTAAATAAAGACAAGTCTACTAGGGCAAAGGGGGAAAAATCAGTAACTTTTTCACTTAAAATTTTGATATTTTGGGGCTGTGGCTGTGGCTCAGTGGTGGAGTACGTTCCTCGCACATGTGAGGCACTGGGTTTGAGCCTCAGCAGCACATAAAAAGAAATAAAGATATTGTGTCCATCTGCAACTAAAAAAAATTAAAATTTTTTTTTTTATATTTTGTTCATCATGTCACTTTTGCATTCTAATTTTTTTAAAGTACTGTACTGGGCTGGGGATGTGGCTCAAGCGGTAGCGCGCTCGCCTGGCATGCGTGCGGCCAGGGTTCGATCCTCAGCACCACATGCCAACAAAGATGTTGTGTCCGCYGAGAACTAAAAAAAAAAAWAA